AGAGCGAAGCGCGTACGTGGGCGCCCTGGTGGACGACGTGGAAGTGCTCCCAATCGGAGGGGCTGGAGCGGTCGGCTACCAGCTTGCCCGACGGCTGTTTTCAAGGAAGAAACAAATACTTGTCAATATAAATAAATAAATAAAAATAAAAATAGACGGCAATGAGGAGATAAAGGAGCGAGGTGAGGTTCAGGTTTGGGGGGGGGGCAATTTTACCTCGGCGCAGAGGTACTTGCCGTGGGCCGATTGGAAGGTGGCCCTGCCGTTGGTGGTGCGCATGGTCCACGTCTCCCACTCCTTGCAGTCCGACCGGTCGGCGACGACCTTGCCGGAGGGCTCGGCGCAGAGGAACTTGCCGTGGTGCGACTTGAGGTGCACCTTGCTCTCTGTGATGCGCACCACGCCCGTCAGCGGTGGGTACCACAACAGTGCACGGTGGTCTTGGGAGCGTACCGGTGGAGATGGTGACGGCGTGATGGTGGTGGTGGTGGCCGTGGTGCATTGTTGTGCTGGGCTGGTGTGCGTCTGCGGACTGGTGCCAGCCAAACGAGGTTTTTTCGTTTTGTGGCGTGATGTCGGGGACGCCTCTTGGGGTTGGTGGATTTTAGAAAGCCCGAAACCGCATGTTCTCTTTCCTGAAAGGACGAAATTTCGATTACACAGCAGGGCCAATTAGGAGCTCCTTTCCATGGTCGCCTGCCTGGCCAGATATGGATTTGATGTTGGCATTGTGCCTTGGTGTTGGGTGGTCTGGGACCAAGCTGGCTCTGGTTGCACTTGTGGATATGGCAGATGAACAAAGAAATTCAATTTGTTGCCCAGCATAGAGCAGAAGAGAAGTTGGTTTGGTGTTGGCCTAGTCTAAACAAGGCTGTTACTGGGAAGTGTGCAGATGGAGGTGCAGTTGTGAGCTGAAGTGTGATGAGCATGCAGTACAAGCAAACACCAAAAAATAGCATCAAGAGGGTAAAACCAAGTGTTCACAAAAAAGGTCCCTGACAATCTGTACATGCTGCCAGATAGTTAGTGAAAAAGAGTCACTGGCAGCATGTACAGATTGTCAGGGCTGTAACACCAGTATCTGCACACCCTCCAGAAACAGACTGGTGTCATCAGTACACTTCAACCAGGGCAATGCACAAAATCTGAGAAATGTGAACGGAAAATGTGTAGAAAATGCCAGAAAAGACCTTAAAAATGCACATATTTCGGCAAAATTGCAATTTGACATGTGTTGGATGGGAAATCTGTACACAAAAAGGGATTCTGCCTTTGTCATTCCTTCTTCAATAACATCCTCCACTTCTGTACATTTTCTGAAATGATGCCCAAGCTTTCCTTGATCTGAACACCAACCTCATGAAAACAAAAGGTTGTACAGATACATACTTTTTTCTGCTAAGCAAAAAGGGTCACTGGCCCTTTTTCATGAACACTTGGTTGTAAGTGAAGTGTTCAGAGTGTGATATTTAACTTGATTGCCAAGGAAAATGAAATGGCCCCAACACAATAAACCAGTACAAAAAGGGAGATTGATACAATGTTATATTGTAGTTGATGGTGAATAATTGACAGGCCCAAAGTAGTGACTTAGTAGTGGCCAGGGGGATACTGGCCAGGCGGGTTCAGGCCAGTGGGGTAGCCCTGCTGTGGGGGATAGCCACCTGACGGGGGAGGGTAGCCCTGCTGCGGGTACCCCTGCTGGGGAGGATAACCACCCGACTGCGGAGGATAGCCGCTGGAGGGCGCCGGAGGGTAGCCACCAAACGCAGGCGGCGGCGCGTAGTGCACCGGGTGGTGGGTCACAGTGGCTACGGTGATGATCTGCCACTTCTCCCAAATATCAACCTTTGAGCGGTCGGCGACGGCCTTGTAGTCCTTCTGCTCGGCGCACACGTACTTGCCGTGGTGCGTCCTCAGCGCCACCTAGGAGGTTAGAAGGCGAAGGACATTAGGACGGGGGCATGTGCGTGTGCAGTGACGATGCGAGAAGAACATGTGTACCTGCGAGCCGTGGTGCTCGATCTGGAAGTGCTCCCACTCGGCGGGGCTGGAGCGATCGGCTACGAGCTTCCCCGACGGCTGTATAAAGTTGTTTCACATAAATTAATGACTCAATAATTAAAATCAATGAATACACTATCGCGAAGGGACGTGGTTGGTCAACTAACCCACCAATAAAATGAAAGGAGCAACGGGGTGAGTGGAGGGGTAGTCTTTACCTCGGCGCAGAGGTACTTGCCGTGAGCCGACTTGAAGGTGGCCTTGCCGTTGGCGGTGACCATGGTCCACGTCTCCCACTCCTTGGCTTCCCTCCGGTCGGCGACGGCCTTGCCAGAGGGCTCAGCACAGAGGAAGCGGGCGTGGTGCGACTTCAGTTGCACCTTCGTCTCTGTTCGACAGGGTCATGATGAGCTTCTTCTCCAACAGCACGAGCTTCATGTCAAGCCATTCGAGAGGTGTGAGTACCGACGGGCTGCTGCTGCTGGTGGTGGTGGTACTGGGGCTGCGGAGACTGGTAGTGCACCTGCGGGGGCGACGGGTGGTGGTGACCCGCCGGGAGGCAGTGCGACCCGACGGGGATGACCTGCCACTGCTCCCACGGGCCGAGGGCCGAGCGGTCGGCCACCACCTTGTGGTTCTTCTCGGCGCACACGTACTTGCCGTGGTGCGAACGCAGCGCGGCCTGCAGAGCAGAGAACAAAACAGTAGAATCACCGCGAGTGAGCTCAAGACAAGAGGGGAAGAGCGAAGGGGAAGAGCGCGTACGTGGGAGCCCTGTTGGATGACGTGGAAGTGCTCCCACTCCGCGGGGCTGGAGCGATCGGCAACCAGCTTGCCCGACGGCTGTTTTAGTTGTTTCGAAGGATCGTTGGTGGTGAGTCATTAATTAAAATCAAGTAAAACGCTGCCGGCTAAGGCACGTGGCGGTAACTAATTAAAATCAAGGAAAACACTGAAGCCATCACCCTACACCAACCAATGGGAGAACGAGATTAAAGGACGGAGAGGAGATGGAGGAGAGGGTTAGGGTACCTCGGCGCAGAGGTACTTGCCGTGGTGCGACTGGAAGGTGGTCTTGCCGTTGGTGGTGCGCATGGTCCACGTCTCCCACTCCCGGCAGTCCGCGCGGTCGGCGACGACCTTGCCCGACTGCTCGGCGCAGAGGAACTTGCCGTGGTGCGACTTCAGATGCACCTTCGTCTCTGTGATGCGCACCACGCCCGTCAGCGGTGGGTACCACAACAGCGCATCACAGAGACATTGTCAGGGAAGCGCCACACAACACCCAGGATGGTCTGAGCTCAGTAGTAGGCGCGTACCGGTGGTGACGCTGACGTGGACGTGGTGGTGCATGGCTGTGTTGTTGTACTGGTGTGAGGGCTGGGGTAAAGGTGAGGTAAGATGTAGAAGCCAAGCTGCACTCCTTTTTGTAGGGAGTGCAATGTCGGGAGGCTTGTCGGGGTTGGTGGAGCAAACCGGGCATTCGAAATCTCACGTGCCATTTCCCGATTGGACGAAATTTCTTGACCAATGGAAGACGAGGATTTTACTCGGGCACGTGCCGCTGCACACCAGGTGGCGAAGAATGCGCGACAGTCAGGGCGAGCTTTGGGCTTGCTGCGGCGACTGGCCCTTCCACCGGGTGAGGAGGTACTGGCCCAGGGCACTCGTGGGGTGCGACGTTCGGGACAGGTGGGTCAACTTCGCGCGGCGCTCACGGTCCCACTCCTCGCTCTGCGCCACACGACCAATCGCAGGTGAGCCGATCAACTACAAAAAGCGAAGATCTGGTTGGTCGTCGGCCGGGGACTCCTACCTCTTGCTTGTCTCTCAAGCTTCGTTCCCTGTCGACCTCCTGGTCGTCGTCCCACTCGTCGAGCACGGTGCGAATCTCTCTCTTGAGGTCTTCGCTGCTGCTGCTCGGCTGCATGGGCCGGTCCGCCAGCCCGAGGTTGTCCCGCACCAGCTCGAGCTGCAGCTTCTTCTTGGCCTGAGCCAAGATCTGCCTCTGCTGCTCCGTCAGCTCCCGCCCTGCGCCCCACACGCACCGAGCAGGCGTGAGACGAATGCAAGGCACGAAGGAATAATTAATAATAACACTACTGTTTTTGAAGAAGGGCCAACCCAAGACTGGCGATCGCGGCGAAGTGATCGGGGATCGCTTCAGCAGTTCGGAGATGGGAATGGGCTGCTTCATGTCGCTGTGGATGATGACAATGATGATGGTAAGTGATCAGAAGAGGTGAAAGCTTGCATTCACACCAGGCACGCCGTGAGCAAAGAGAAGAGAAGAAGCGTGGACGTACGCGAGGCCTCGCATCGGCGACCTGCATCGGAAACAGTGCTTGTATGAGTGGCCGGAGGTAAAAAGAAACCACCAATTTTGGCCAAGCAGAGAGGGGGGGGGAAGGTGTACCCTTCGAAGCGCGGTGAGACTTCGTCCACTGAATTCTTCCGCTTGTGGGACACGTCCGCCAGTTGGGGCAGGGAAGCCATCGGACCTGAATGAGTCCCTGTCACGAAAATGGTGCGTTGTCCATTGTAAGTCACGTGTGGTGTGTGTGTGTCGTGTGTGTCGTGTGTGGCGTGTGTGTGTTGGGGTTGCACGAACCTGCCGCGGTGCCGCCGAGAGGATTGCGCGGCGAGTTGGCGGCGCGCGGGGAGGAGGTGGGCGGCGGGTACGAAGAGAGGAGGCCCGAGTTGAGGTTGAGCGTGCCGGGCGGCGAGAAGGTCTCGCGCTTGATCCCCAGCCGCGTGGGGTCGCGATCCGGGTTGGACCCGCCGAGCACGTTCAGCCGCGAGGCCGCACTGGCCACCACCGCGGCCGCCGACGGATCGCCCGACGTCGACGACGACGACTTGTTCCGCCTGTGGAACACCCGCCCGCTCTTCTCCTTCTCCTTTTCCTTCTCCTTTTCCTTCTCCTTCTCTTTCTCCTTCTCTTTCTCCTTCTCCTTGCGCAGGTGGTCGATGTCGGAGCTGCCGACGCTCTTCTTGTGCTTGCGCTGGAAGAGGCCCACGCCGCCGCCGCCGCCGGTGCTGTCCTTGGCCTCGTCGTCTCGCGTCTTCTTCTTGTCCTCCTTCTCCTTCTTACGCTTCTCCTTCTCCTCCTTCTCCTTGTCCTTCTTACGCCCGCCGCTGAGCTCCAGATCGAGCTCCTCCTCCTTGAAGAACTCTTCCGCCGAACCCTTTTTCTTCTTTCCGCTCCACATTCTCGCTTTCGTGGGCAGCTGTACATACACACACACAAGAAGGCAAGGAAGAGGTGAGCCATCGCAGTGTCCCCATCGAGCTAACGACTGATGCGAGTGTGCAGGTGAGATAAAAAAACAACGATGAACAAAGGATGGGTCATTGAATGACGTCCATCTCGCACAAAAAAAAATGTTTATAGTTTTAACTGTAAATAAAAAAATAAAAAGAACGAAGACGACGTGGATTGGCGGTTGCTGGGGGGGGGGCGAACGAAAAGAAGGGGAGGTACGTGTCACGACGTTGATGGAGCCTTCTTATCAATTGTCGAGCCAGAGCGCTTGACTGTCTTGCTAGACCAGGTCCTGCGAGTATCCTCAATCTTGCCTCAATCTCCTCCTTTCCGTTTTCTTCAAACGTTGCCGCGGTCTCTTGTTGCTCTCCCACCAACCTCACGCCTCGCGCGTGTTTTTGTCTGACTCCGCGGCTGAGTTCTCCCACATTCCTCCCCGGCCCTGTCTTCTGGCGGGTCCTGCGGGGGGGGGGCTTGGAGAAGTCCTTTCGCGCAGGGCCTTGTGGAGCTTGCCTGGTGGTGCTTCGATCACGATGTGTTCGCTCGTCATCGTGCGCTGTGTCCAACTACAGTCCTGCCGCACACGATGATGGCGCAGTCCGATCGAGGTCGGGTACAGGATGTCGGCAGCCTTCTGCGGGAAACTCACGCACGCGCAGCAGAATGAACGATCAAGGGCCAACGCCCGAAGGCAAAGTACGGTGGTGTACAAGGAAGATAACCACTAGACTGCGGACAACAAGAACACACCCACCGGTAAAGCAAGGATGAGACGCGCAACACAGAGAACGGTAGGGAGCATGAGGGGTAGCTACACAGCCCACGCGGCACCGGCATGGTGTTGGCTGGTGCGGGGCAGGGCCGCCGGACAGCTGGTGTCCAGCTGCAGGGTATTCTCTCACCTTACCTCCTCGTTACGAGCCCTTTGACTGGAGGGCCTTCGCGCGCTCACACATGTGCGATTCAGGCCTACGGCGAGTCGGTTGACGAGCCGATGTGGCGGCAGGTCAACGTAAAGGCCAAAGGTTCCGCCTTGGCTCCTGATGCTCTTGGTGTGGTTGCTGATTGGGGGGGGGGTCGCAGGGAAGGGGATGAAGACGGTGATCAAGGCAGATAAACACGAAATGACGCTGGACGAACCGAAGAGTGTGGGCGGTACCGATGAGGGACCTAGCCCCTTTCACGCCGTGCTGGGCGCCCTCGCCGGCTGCGAGCAGGCCACCGGTAAGCGCACTGAACCCTCACTGCCGCGCCAGGCCACGCCTAACGCTGGACGACGGTGGGTGGCGGTGCACAGTGCATTACCTGATCAAGAACAAGACGTGTAAGCTCGACATCGAGAAGATCTACTTTGACGTGGAGGGCTCCTACGGTAAGTCGCCACTTCTCTGGAGGAGGGAATAGAGTGAGTGAGCTAATGTGGGGCTTGGTTGCGCGTTGCCCGGGCGACAGATGCGCGCGGGATCATGGGCATTGGGAATATTACGCCCGGCTTTCAGAAGGTGAAGCTCATTGCCCGCCTGAAGACTTCCGCCTCGCAGGTGCGCCAGTGGTGTGAGCGGGGATGGCTGAGCCCACGTACTGATTCTCTTCCGGACTTCTTTCAGGCGGAGATCGATGCACTGGCGCGCAAGGTGCAGCAGCACAATCCCGTGGCTGCGCTCTTCATGTCGGCCGGGGTTCCACTAGAGATGGAGTGGAAGAAGCTCGAGAAGGAAGAATGAAGAATGAAGTCACATACCCCTGTGTCCCCCACCCAATAGACCGCGCATTGCGTAATGTTGAGGCCTGTATTGTCCCCTTTGAGAAGCCTGCCTCTGCTTGTTTGTTTACACGGTAATGAACGAAGAAAAACACTGAACAGAAAAAGATGGCGAGTGAGCACCACATGGCGCAGCGCGAGGAGGGAAGAGGTGTGGTTACCTTATTCACACGCAGCCAACGCTCTCCCCGCAGGGAGCCGCTGGCTTCGAAGGCGGACTTAGTTCCCGCGCCGCCTCTTCTCGCCGCGGCCGGTGCTGGGTGACCCTATCGACGTTTCGAGGACCACATATCGGCGAGGCTCCTCCCTCGACAGCGCGCTGCGGGTCAGCTCCACCAACAGCTCGGGCACCTTACACAGCTCCTTCTCGAATTCGGGTTGCTCCCTCAGCATCTACGCATTGCACGCGGCCCAATCAGCAAGATGTCCAGCGGGCCGTTGCCATCGATAGCTGTTGTGGCGAGGTACCTCGTCGTAGTGGTCCATGATGTACTGCTTGCACTTCTGCTTGAGGAAGTCGACGTGATACCTGTCGGCGCAGATGAGCAGGGTGACAGCATTCTGCTTACTGATGTGGCTCATGAGCACCACCTCGCACGTGGTCTTCAACGGGAAGAGCAGCATCTCTGCTCCATTGATACAGCAATGATGTGTATCAGTCGCGATACTTCGTTTCCCGTTTGAGGTTTGAGATGGTCTGCACGCAAGGACGAGCGCGTACCTTCGGCGAGTGCGAGCAATTGCAGGCAACCTTCGGCAGTCGTGGGCATCTGCACGTTATCGCAGTAGATCCACTCGAGCATGAGGCGGAATGTCGATGGGTCATGCCCCTCGATGGCCACCTGATTGAGAAGCGCGCTTTCAGTGTCAAGCCCAATCCTGTCCCTTGCGCATGGAGGCATGAGCGTTATGGTTTGGCCTCGAGGTATACCTCGCCCGTCTTCTGTTCGTTGTATTCGGCAAAGGATGAAGAGAACATGGCCCGGAGCTTCTCGCAGCGTGCTGTGAGTATAAGCTGCATGCCCAATGCGCCCACGTTGCAATCACGATCAGCATCAGGTCGAAGATCATACTGCACTGGTGGTGGTGGGTGGTGGTGGTGGGAACAGACCTTGTGGGCATGGACCTTCTCCTTGCCCACGTTGAACACCACGTCGGTGCTGCCGTGCCCGCCCGATCGCATGGCCTCCAGATAGAGTTCGCGCATGTCGGACTGAAGGGTCTTGCCCGGTACGCTCGTGGAATTCAGGTAGCAGTGGAACTCGGGCGTGTGATGAACCTTGATCACGTCGTTCGTTGTCAAGCACAGGCTCCCGCACTGCCCTCCGCCCGTCCCACAAACAAACGACCGCTCGTCAGCATCGCGATGCATGAAGAAGAGGGTGAAGGGTCGCGGGAGGGAGGAGGGACAGACCGTGTCGTTGTCGTCGATGGTGCGGTTGCCAAACTTGAACTGCACGCCACTGCGTGTGGAGGTGTTGGCGCCATCGAGGTGGAGGTTGTACTCCTCGCAGTATCGCTTCTTGAGTTTCAACAGCCTGATCGTCTTGGGGATTCGAAACTCGACCGATTGACCTACGTGGGTAATCATCGACATGGCCACGATTAACTTACAATTGGGCAATAAGGAAGTCAATTGCAGGAGGGGGGCTTACCGTGGACAACTCTCAAGGCTTCTTTGCTTTCATCCACGTAGAGATCCTCGGCTGCGATAACCTTGATCTTGATCACGTTGGCATCTTCCATGACCTGCAAACCGTGTGACCCATGGTGGTGATGCTGGTGGGGCGCATGCATGTTGGCAATCTAATCTGTTTATGTGGAAATGTCACCAAACGTTTTTTGTAATCCTCGTCCAAACACTCGACATTGGTTTCGAGGTGAGAACCACTCGCCTAGGCGGTGATGGTGAACGCAGACTGGGCCTTGGCCAGAGTCTTGGCGTAGGGGTGGGTGGAGCCACAGGAGCCCTCGCACACGAGGCCGGTAACGGCGTACTTGCCGGGCAGCCAGGGCTCCTGTTCAGAGGGGTCGGTGGTCACCTTGATCTTGTAGCTGTAGGGACCAGGCCCGACGTTCAGCAACAGCTCGACCGCGTCGACGGAGAGGGCGGGAGGGGCGCCCGGCGGCAGCACAGAGACCACCAGCTCGCCGGTGCCGATGGTGGAGTTGACGACGAAGGTCAGCGCCACGACGAAGGTGGTGCCTTGCGTGCCCTTCTCGGGGCTCGTCTCGAACTGGGAGAAGCTAGCGCTGGAGTTGGTGCTGATGGGGCACACACTGAGCTCCTCGCAGATGTAGATAGGATCCGGGTCGACCTCGTCAACGAGGTCCACCAAGGCCTCAATGCCCACATAGTCGCACAACAGCTGGCACACCAGTCCCTCATCGCCGTCGAGCTGGCTGCAGAGCTGGTTGCAGCTGCCGATGACACCACCGTTGGCGATGATCTCCAGCAGTTGATCGATCACTTGAGAGAGAAAGTCGATGCAGGTCGGGCACCATTCTCCCGGTGCAGTGGAAGCGGTGGCGCCAGTGGGGACCAAGCTGAGCTGAGAGGCGGCAGTGAAGGTGATCAAGAGCGCGAGCGCGGCCAACAAGACGAAGCAAACGGACCTCTGCATGATGATGTGTCCGTTCGTTTAACAGTTAAAGATCTTTTTCTTTCGCTTTTCCTTGTGCAACGTCAGCTCGACGTCGATCAGCTCAATCGATGAAAACCCCCAGTTTGAATCAATTCTAAAACAAAACACAATGGAAGTGCGTCGAAGAAGGGCAGGAGGAGCATCGTCATCCTCATTTTCATCGGATGCTGAGGCGGCCGAGGTGGTTCGCGTGCGCCCGAGCGATGAGCGGTCGCAGTGGACGGTCACCGATAGGAGATCGGATTCATCTAGCAGCGATCTCTCACGCTCCACATTCTCCCTCGCCCTTTCCTCGCTGGGCGAGAGCCCGCTCGTCACCTTCATCATCGACCTCGTCAAGCAGGCCATGGGCATGCTCTGGGCCGCCCCCGCCTCCACCGCCCCCGCCCTCGACGCTCGTGCCAGGTAACCCCAAAGCATCTCCTCCTAGGCTGGGCGTCGTAG